ATATATATATATATATACACATGGAGAATAAAAACAACAGCAAAAAGAAAATATATCAATCATATATATAGCTCAATAGATAACCTATAAAAATATTCAGCTCACCTAGTAAGGCCAACAAAATCAGGACGATAGTATTGTGGTGATTTGCGAATTTACACTTAGTGACCACATCCCTTGAATGCCATCCAGCTCTATTGACGCTTGTTCATGGATACCAATGCCATTACGGATAATACGAAGAGATCCCTCCTTAAAAGCTCCTGAAAAGTATGGTCATCAATCATCAGATTGTCATGCTATACAACTTCTATAATCATAACAGTAATAATTGTTATAATAATAATAATTAGTAATCATTGTTATTATTATTATTATATAATAATGAAATAATGAAAATAAGAAAAAATAATAATAAAAATAATATCATTATTAAAGTATAGTATACTTATATTATCAAAAATATTAATACTATAAACAATAACAATAATAATATAATAATAATAATAAATATAATAAATAATAATAATAACAACAACATTCCAATCACATTAATAATTAACTAACATCAACAACTTCAATAATAATAATGATATCAATAGCAATAATAATAATAATAATAATAATAATAATAATAATAATAATAATAATAATAATAATGATAATTATAATAAAAAAGTATAAAAAACATGATAATAAAACAATAACAATAATAATAATAATGACAATGACAATGATTGATTAATAATAATAATAACAATAATAATAAAATAATAACAATGATAATAATAATAATAATAACAACGACAATAACGATAATAAAAATAACATCAATAACAATATTAATAACAACAACAACAATAATAATAATAATAATGATAACGATAATAATAAAAAAATAAATATATATATAATAATAATAATATAACAAAAATAACAACAACAATAAAGATAGCAATGATAACATAATAACAATAATTAATAAAAATTGTCTATCCTTATATCCATAAACTATGCGTTTCCTCCTCAGACAATCTGAGATCTCTTTCCACTATCACAAAACACATTTAAAACAGCATACTCAACCCCCCCCCCCCCAAAAAAAAAGAGATGAAGAAAAATGACATCATACCTGAACAGGTTACAAGCTGCCCCTGGCCCTGTCGCTCCAGGTCAACGACCACCATGTCCACAATAGGGCCAAGATTGTTGAAGGTCTGCATGATAACCACATACTGGCCAGAGGCATCAGCTTCTGTATTTAGTTTGATCAGCTGTGAATCTCCCAAGCGAGATCCGACAAAGACCACACCATTATCAAGGTATGTCAGACATTCAGGGATGGATATTTCACCTACAAAGAAACAGTAACATCAAGACACAGACTTTATGAGAAGTACAACCAAAGAAAACTTTTTAAAAATCCCCAAGTATTTATCAAAGAAAGGAAACAAATAAGAAAATTACAAACTATGCTACATACTGGTATATAATATAACTGTAATAACAATATAAATGAGGATGACAGTGACACCTACAAACAAAACCAACCAGTCTTAAATATGCAACACAAAGGAATTCTGTTGGTCCTTACCCAGCAATTCAACCTTGACAGTAGCCTCAGACCGATCATCCGGCTTATCCAGCAGCAGCATGAAGAGACGGCCTGACAAATCTCCTAGGAGATATCTTGAACCATTGGCATCAACCTTCCCATAACAAACTATGGTGCTGGTCTGTTTAGAGAATATAATGTTTTGTAGAGACATTAACCCTTTATATCTAAAGAACTATATAGTCCCTAGAGCCAGGAACAGCAGTTGGGATTTTGCTTCTCACTGTTTTGCCCTTGATGGTTTGAGGGATTTACTTTTTACATCATATTTCAAAGAATGCATATCCTAATCAATTCCTATATACAATTGTTTTACAATATATTACATAAATAGAGCACAAAATACAGAAATCTGGATGTAAAGGGTTAAACTGATTCGTCCAGTTATTATATTTTTGATACCTAAGCATTATGTATACCTTAATGAGAGCAGGGGCTACTGTCACATGTGAAGTCCCAGTGAGGTAAGTGATAATTTCCTGACCAATAATGATTGCTCCACCATACGGCTCTGGAACAGCAATAATTGTAGAGGCCTCAGTCTCTACATTATCCTGCTTCCAGGGCATCTGCAAATAAAGAAAAAATATTTTCATTCAATCCACACTACAAAACATTATGAATATACAGTTCACTGATTATGTTGTCTAATTATATCCATCTTGGAAAGCTGTCTTATGGCAAACATATCTTGTACATGCAAAGTAGGACAAGGCAGAAGTTCAAGTGTGACTTGTAACATATTTATGTTACCAATATTTACAAGATTATCTCTTGATTACTGTCAAGTCACTACACATCTTGTGCATTGAGAATTTAATTTACTTCTTATATATCATAAGTTTCATTATCCTCATATCATTCTCAACAACCATACCACTTGGCTAGCATTGGCTTCATGGTGTTATATATATATATATATATATATATATATATATATGATGTTATAAATACATATGCAACAACTAATTGGCTCTCAAAAAAATTCTTACCTTGGAGAATTCCTTTTCTTTGAGGGAAATTTCATGAGTCTTAATATGTCTCCCATGCGTGTCTTGATATATAACAATAATTGTGGGATTAGAACATCCATACAAGAACTCTATGTCTTGAATTTGAAGCTCATCAACTCTGAAATAGTAAATAACAGAAATTCAGAATATAATTAATGTTACAACTGTATTTAATCTACCCCTACTAAATCCTGCACATCCCTGTACCGTACAAATCATTAAAACATTACCTTTTTCTATTTCCTTCTACTATCCATAATCAAAGTCGAAGTGGCCATAAGGGATATATTAATTTTACTGAGTGTTAATGCGTACTGAGTAGCAGGGTGATGCAGTTGGATGGCTGGTTCCTTTCCCCCCTTCCTTTAATCCCAGCATGTTGATGTCAGCATGCCAGTACTCACTCAGAGCTTAATTAACTGAGCAGGGTTAACCAGGTGCAAACAAAGATCTTACAATTACAAAGTAAGTGCACTACCATTGAGCTATGCCACCTTCTGCTGTCCATAATACATGTCCAAAAAGACTGCCACTGCCTACATAATATTCACTTTTCACTCTGACTTAACAGTACTCTACAGAAACTTTGTCTTTAAAAAGAGATCATGAAGTTCCTTTAATAAATTACAAAATACATTTAACAACAGAAGCAAGACTGATGGTAATCTGACTTATTCTACCCACAAATTTCTTATCCCAAATTGTCCCCAGACTTGTAGGGACCATTCTTGTAAAGTTATAATATCTTTAAGTACATTTAACCCAACTACGCCACTGGATGCTGGATGATATCCTATCATGTCATGGGACATCACCTCATCACACAGGGATGACATCTTCGCACCATGAGTGTTCAACCTGCTCTGACTTGGGCAGGCTAAACAGCTGTGCACTTGTTTGGTCCTGATCTTATTTGTTGAGCCTCTCAAAAGTAGGCTTAGACTTGTTTTAGCCTCATTATCTAACATAACCTTCTATGATCATTAATGGGCTAACTTAATTTGTAGCCTTTTGGAAATCCTACTCCATTTCAATGATTACATAAAAATAAAATGTAAATTCTTAGTAAAACTTCAAGAACTAGAGAAAAAGCTTAAACAAGGCTTACCTTATATTATAGGCTTTAAGCTCATTATTGTCTTTATCAAGAGGAATGACTTTAATGAGGCCTTCATAGAGTCGCAATACAATGCAACGCGCCTGAGGGTCAACAATTGCAATCATTCCAGTTTCACATGGTTTCCCTGTAAAGATATCATAGCAATTGCAAAACTCTGATAAAGAATAATGAAAAAATAACAACTATACATATATATATTTCTTGATATGACTAATATATTCTCATTCACTGATACAAAATCAACAGTACAACTTTACTTTACACTTTACTCCAGGGACGCCTTTAAATTTATTCAATGAATGATTCCTCTTATAATCAAAAAATCACATCAAGCATAAATATATCTTTGAACTTAGGTTTTTAGAGATAAAAAGGAAAATACTTGCCAATCTTATCTGCTACATTGCCATGAGCTCTGGTTATGATCTCTAGATTCTCTCCATCCCCAACACATTCCAGGATCATAGCACAATACCGTGTTGTCAATATGAAGAGCAAGTCTTTTGATTCATTCTGCAACATTATGAAAATCACGTAAGTTATGCTTTTATCACTATTGGCATACAAGTTCATCATAAATTCTCTAAAAAAATTTATTTTCTATAGCCAACAGGGATACATTACCATAGGTGTAAAAAGGTTCATGCAGGCAATCTTGCCATAGATGGTGAGTTCTTTTAGAGGCCTTAATCCTTCTGGTGTAACCAGGTGGAGTTCCACTCTGTTGTTCCGAGCTACGACCAAGTTCAGGTCGGTTGGCGAAGTCAGGTGTCCTGTAAATACCAAAGAAAACAAAATGTTACAATCTTAATTAACATCTATACATGCCATTGTGAGGATGAGCCCAAATTGTGGATGGCAACTACACATGCCATGACAATGGCAGCTGCTCTATATTCTGTACACCATACAGGCATGAAGTATTATGGCTCTAGCAGCATTGCTTCTTGAATGAAAGGCTTTCAAAGTCAGCCTGAACCCTCTTTTAATATGCTCTTATTGAAAAACAATAATAAGCTTGTCTGGATTTGAATATAATGGGGGTAATATTCTCCCCACACTTTTGAGTCGTGCATATAACCATAAAATTAACCCATACATTGCAGCCAGTCTCCCAATTTCATTGCCATAAAGATGACAATACTACCTTTTCCAAGTGAATGGTCCATTCAAAAGACTTTTCCATTAAATGTTTAAGTGAGAGAACCAAGAAAGATTTTTGTGAGCTTTTGGTGTTCTAGGAGCACATTTTCATGCCTTGATTCTGCTAGACCAATGTACAGCAGTGCATAGGCAACAATTCTTAACCAATCAGAGAAAACGTCTTCTGGTGATTAGTCCAATAAAATTGCACTAATTAATAATAACTAAATAATTGTGAAAGACCCTACAGAAATTAAACAATCGCCACACAACAAATTGAGGAAACAAGTGATTGCCAGTGGTAGTTAGTCATGGAACAAGCTATTACATAGGAAAGAACAGGTGTAGCTACAAGTAATTTACTTTGCTATCTTCTAAAATCTGGTGGTGCTTCTGCCACTTTCAGGGACATCTTTATGAAAAAATATGCCTTCATACCACACTTGGGTTTTTTGGCATAAAGCTCAACTCAGAAAATCTAAACTGTTGAGTAAAATCAAGATATAGATACCTGAAAAACAAGCTTAATGTCATTCGCATTTTAGCATGGGTTCTGTGGGCTATATGTGGCCTTGAGGCTGGCAAAATAATAATAACAATTCTCTCCTACATACATTCTGATATGAATGAGTTTGAAATGATTCTTTTTTAAACCATTAAACACCAACAAGGTATATAAACCCCATCTTACAAGAATATAAATGATTGAAGTTTGCGGGTTGTTGTCACAGAGCCCAGTAGGAATGGTAAGGGTAACTACTTCCAATTGGAATAGTGCTAGCAATATTTTGCTCCCTGCACATCTTGTTCCAGTAATGGGTAACAAGCCTTCACTACCTATACTAAGCCAAGACAAAGCTTGGTCTGGTTCTTGATTTAATGATAAATCACCAGGGAGGTACAACCTCCATCATATCAGATGTATGTGGAAGAGGTTTGTTGACTTATTGAAATAAAACATGGAGGCTAGAAAATCACTCGACTTGATGGGAAGATTCATAGACTTTGTTAAGTTTATCAGACGATCAAGGTTCTGTCTGAGAAGGCCCAGGAGACACCAATGGAAACGGTTTTGGTATAATACGTCGCCAAGGTCTGGTCAGGATGAGAGGAGTGTACCAAAGAAAGCTGTGTTTATGTATGAATGGAGACACCTAAGTATACCAAGTAAGACATTAGGAGACAAGGTAGGTACTGCCTCTATCGAAATTGGGGAAGAAGTATGGGTGAAACCATCAAACACGCAGTGCATATCGAGGTGGGGGAGAGGCATAGTAACAGATATGCAGTCTCAGAATAATGTATCAGTTGGAGGGATGCCTCGGCATGTCCTGGACCTCAGGAGAGTGGTGGATTCTTTAACAGATGAGGAGGAGCCAGAGGAAGCTGGCAAAGATATAATCTTATGATGGTCTCAGAGAGAAACACTAACTGATGTGGATGAAGGATTATATAGAGGGAGAGTCGAGCAAGGAGGATGACGAGCTATGCACCAATTCTTTGTAAATCAGTAGTGGGTAGTGAGCTTAACCCACTAATAATGAGTGTCCCACATATCAGACACCTGAAAAAATAAACATTGCCGGGCGTCCCGCCAGTGTGACACTGTATCGGGGATCATGCTCTGACGCAGCAGAGGGCCACGGACCGCGGGCGGACAGTCCGGGGGAACTCCGCCTGCCAATCTTGTAGCCGCCCAGAATCTTTTATTTTCAGTTTCACAATATACCGGCATTAAGCCCCTACACATGTACGTGCATTTGCAGTGAGCAGCGCCACCACCCACAACCCGGAGAACTCAGTTTTAATGGATTAAGATCACGGGGGCATGTGGTATAATTAAAAGGAAATTGGTAGCTTCCAAGAGGGACTGGCAATGATTTGTGCTGTTAGGTTACAAGTCAAAGAAAACGGTGAGTGCTTATTGAGGGATGTGGCATAAAAAACAGGGGTGCTCATGAACTGGCGAGTTGTTAGCGGCCAGAGAGTGTCCGGCGTTGGATAGGAGGTGGTGACCTGGATTGAGAGCTCCCGTTGATCAGTGGCTGACTTTTGTGCATTGTTGTAATGTAGCCGAACCCCGCAACCTGCAGCGCTGCATACTTCCCCTAGGTTGGGTCCAGGTCCACAGCCTGTCCTCTTGNCGGGCGGGAGTGGCCAGCCTCTGTGTGGCCTCACTCGAGCTTCATCCTGCTTCAGCGGTGATGGTTAGCTGAGGGACAGCTCTGGAGCCACGGTCGAGAGGCCGTGGCTCCGAGCATACCGCAGATGGCGCCAAAAACCTGCTAACTTCTCTCCCCTCCCCCTCAGTTAGCCGAGAGGCTCCGTGGTCGCCATAGCGAGGCTCCGCGCCCCGTGGGAAAATTGTGGCGGGGCGAGCCGCGATCAAGGTCGTGGGGTATTCCCCGCGCCACGAGTCGCGACCTTGCCTCGCCACACGATCCCGCGGGGTGCGGCCGCGCGGTGAACACGCGAGTCTGCCGATGGCGCTGAGCCCCTCGATCCTTTTCCTCTTTCAATAAACCCACTCCACTATTACCCCAACTTTACCCCGCAGGCTGGGTGAAGCCCCGGCTCCTTCTTCTTCTCCTGAAATTCTTTTCCTCCTC